GGCAATAATTATTTCAGGGAGCCCTGGGGGAAGGGAATGGATCGAAGGTTTGAAAATTCAAAGTTGCCACTCGGAAAGCGTCAGTGGAGAGAGAGAAAATGCAATGAAAGGAGCTAGTGGTTCCTGTGGATGTGTAGTTCATGGCAACCCTAGTGCTTGTGGAGAAACCCACTCAATCGTTAGTTATGCTCACAGCCATTCAGCTTCCAATCGTGCCATTTCCTCCTTAGAACCTTTCAATTGCCACACTTTTCTCAGGGCAGCAAGAGGCAGAAGAATCTTAAAGGCTGCCTTGTTGCTTCCTTGGTTCATCTCTTGGCCTGTGAAAGTTTGTGCTGTGGGAAGGCCTCTTTGAGGAACCATTGCTGACTCACCCACTGCCAGTAGCAAGCACTTCATCTTCTTTCACTGGCTGTGCTTTGCCTGATTGCGTTTTCATTTTTCCACTGAGCCTAGAGTTTTGGCTCCATGAACACTACCTTTTACACTTGTAGTGACCAAAGGAGTCAGGTGATATGTGCAGACAGTTAATTGCTCAACTACTATGTGGTTGGTGATTTGAACCCTCTTGGCTTTTCCTCTAGAGAAAGACTTGGCAGCCTGCTTCAGTGAAGACCATAACTGAGGAAGCCCTTCGAGGCTATTCTACTCCTGACAGTGCCTAACAAATGAGAGGCAGGCCCCCAGCTTTTGAAATGACTCGGCTGTAGTAACGCCCACAGCTGTACATTGAAGAAGGAAAACCTAAATCACATAGATATTTTATGAATGTATAATTTTACACACTTTTCTTCCTTCCACACAGAAATTAGGTTTCCAGTTGTAAAAGTAAATGAATTTTTAGCACATTCTGCCCGAGTGTAAAGTGTGTTTGAGTTAAATAGATGCTAAAACTTTTTACCACATTTGAGAGTTTCTAAATTTATAGTGAGCTTTAACATGCCCCAGGAACTCCTATGGAGCCTTTATATTGATATAAACTGAACTGTTGTTTTTTTCCTTGTTGCTTTTAGAAGAAACATGTTTAAGAGAGAAAAAAAAATAGTGACTTGTTTATTTGAAAATAGTTTCTCATTTTTATTGTAGACTCTGAAGCATAAGATGTTATCTTTCTTGATTATCTGTTTAAACATTGTGAACAAATTCTATGATGATAGCCTGTCAGAATGCCTGCAAAAACAGTTACCTCTAAGTTTTTCCTTTAAAACTGTCCAACTGCATTAAAGTTGATAATTATGTTGTCAGCACATTGAAGGGTGTTCAGTTGAAGTGTCTTAATTAGTTTCTTGTTCACTTAAAATTAGTGGGAGGATCTGAGAAGACAGGCCTGGGGTGAAGATCCCGGAAGAGAGGCAGAGTTGTAGGTGCATATGGATGATGTTAAAATATGACACTCAGATTTCATAAAACTGATGTTACATGATTGATACAGAGGCACATGGCTAGCTTCTTCAAGCATTAAACTTCTTGCTGTTTCTCAGCTTTTTGCTGTTGAGACTACTTTAATGCAAAAAAACTCAGTGCTGTCGAGTCAGAACTGGCTCACAGCTGACCCTCCAGCAGGGTTTGGAGGCTGTAAGTTGCTCCAGAGGAGATTGTCCATCTTTCTCCCACAGAGTGACTGGTAGATTTGAACCACCAGAGAGAAGCCACCTTCGGGTTAGCCATGCAGCCTCCTACAGGCTGTGCTGCTAAAGCTCCCCCTCAGGATTCTTTTCCCATCTTAATATTTATTGAGGACCCAGAGTGCTTTTGTATATGTCTTGTCATGGTGGACTACTACCAAGTGGGAAATGATTCCTAGTTGACACTCCAGCAAGTTTCAGAGGTCATAAACTGCAAAGGAGAAGATTTCCCACCTTTCTCGTGCAGAGCAGCTGGTGCATTTGAACCACCTACCTCTGAATTAATAGCACAGCTTCTTACCACTGAACCACCAGAGTTTCCTTTTGGTTATATTATCATTGTTGTTTTTAAGCACTATTGAGTCAAGTACAACTCATAGTGACCCTGTGACTAACAGATCTGAACTCTGTCCTATCCTGCACCGTCATCCTTTACACATTTAAGTCTGTTGCCACAGACACTGTATCAGTTTGTCTCATTGAGGGTCTTCCTCTCCTTCACCAATTCTCTACCTGTCCAAGTGTGATGTTCCTTTCCAAGGAATAGCTTCTCCTAATAATGTCTCCAGAATATGTGAGATGAAGTGTCACCATCTCTGCCTTCAGTGAGCACTCAGGTTGCACTGTAAGAGATAGCTGTTTGTTCTTTTGGGAATCCATGGGACATTCAGTACTCTTATCCAACATCACAATTCAAATGCATCAATTCTCCTGTCATCCTTAATCATTGTCCTACTCTCAGATGCAAAATGTGTGGTTGGAAAGGCTGGCTTGATTCAGGTACACCTTAGTCTTTAAGCTGACATCATTGCTCTTCCAGACTTTGAAGAACTCTCTGATAGGAGACTTTCCCAAAGCTGTACATCTCCCAGTCTGCTGAGTGCTGGTACCAAGAATGTTGATTGTGGATCTATCATGATGTTTCCTATTAATCCAATGGTGAGGAATTGTGTTTTTATGATGTTGAGATGTGATTATATTGAGATTGAAATTCTTGATCTTCTGTATGTAGCAAGGTTTATACAGGTTATATTCAATTGATGTTTACTGAATTAGAACTCAAAAATGGATAAGCGTATTTGTGAGTTTTACAATTAGAATATTTATTGATTCATGAAAAATTGTTGTTGTTAGGTGCCATCAAGTCACATATGACTCATAGCAACCCCATGAACAGCTGAGCTGAAGCCTGACCTGGCATGTGCCATCCTCACCGTTGCTTCAGTCACCGTGTTGATTCATCTGGTTGAGGGTCTTCTTCCTCTCTTTGGCTGATCCTCTAACTTCCCAAGCGTGGTGTCCCTCTCCAAAAACCAGCCTCTCCTAGCAACATGCCCCGAGTATGTGAGACGAAGCTTTGCCGTCCCTGCCTCCATGGGGTGCTCTGGCTACACCTTCTCCAAGACGTAACTATTTGTTCTCTTGGCAGGCCGTGGGATATTCAGCACTCTTCCAGCACCACAGTTTTTCTTCTGTCATCCTCATTCATTGTCTAGCTCTCAGATACAGAGCAAGTGATTGAAGAGACAGTGGCCTGAATCAGGAGCACTTGAATAGTTTAAAATATCAATAATAAACTTATTAGTGCTTACGTATGTATTTTTATGAAAAAAGAACTTTGTTAAAAAAAGAATGGGAAAATAGGCGTTACTTTCATTTTTTGCTTCAGCATTTAGTCTGTTGAGGTTTCACATGGAATTTCGCCTTTGTAATGTTTTGCTGTGAGTTGTGAGAAAATCCGATGGAAAAGCTGTAATAGCTCCGTGTTACTAAACATGTAGAATGTTCCTTGGGAAATGGCAGGGTCTCGTCTCACGTTCTGTGGACATGTCATCAGGAGGGACTGGTCCCTGGAGAAAGTCCATGCCTGATAAAGTAAAAGATCAGCAAAGGAGGAGGAAGACCTTCAGTGAAATCGGGCCATCGGCACAATGGCTACAACAGTGAGCTCAGCCCCAGCAGCAATGGTGAAGACGGGGGCAGGGGCTGACAGTGTTTCTAGCTGTGTGGTTGTAACTAACAACAGTGACATTGTCAGTAAGGAAATAACTGAGCTCATGGACACTCTGAAAGGATGTTAGGGACCAGTGGACTTAAATGTATGTTTCCCGAGTACTGGGGGCCATTCCCATAGTGGTCTGTCTTCTAGCAGGACCATTTGGGTCCTGTTAAAATATTCTTTAGATTGACTCCCGGAGTATGTTTGCTGACTGAACTTGTCCCAATAAAATTCCATGGAAGGGAGCCACTGGTGAGTCAGGAATGAATTTCCTTCCCAGGTCACCTTTGTCCTTAATTAGTCATGCTGGCTGCAGAACTCCTCTCACTCACTCCTCTGACTCAGCAGCTGGAGAGGTGCCAGTGGGTCGCCCCTGTATCTGAGGATGCTGCAGACTGGTTACAAATCAAGGAAAGTTAGGGGAAAATGCTTCCTGTTCAGTCCAACAGGAACTCTGTTGGCACGGTCTGCAGCTTGTTGCACTGATAACCAAAAGACCTCTGGTCTTTGGGGATTCGAATCCCCAGTGGGTCCTGGAGAGATAGATGGATCTCCTCCTCCTGTCAAGATTTACAGCCCTGGAAACCTGATAGATGGTTTGCATTGAGTCAGAAGTGACTCAGCACAGTCACACCACAGAGTTTGACTTTGTTTTGAATCCAGTACAGTGGATGCTAGGCAGTGGCAGAGGTTGCTTGGAGGGAGAGGCGAGAACTATTTCCTAGAAAAACAAAAAGTGAAGACGTCTGTCGAAGTTTCTGGGGCCTTTCTGGCTTATACACTACATCCTGCCATCCAGGAAGCACACACACTGCTCTGGCTGGTGGTTTTAACACCCTGCCAGTGGCAGGTGGTCTGAAGAATGAGTGGGAAGTGAACACAGGCGCCCCATGTAACAGTGTTTTCATTTGCCAAATGTGATGTTAATTTCCTCCAAACTTAATGGTAGGAATATGTAAACTTCAGTTGAAAATGTGCATTCTGTTAGTGTCAAGTTTTTAGGCTTTTGATAAAATGTAGATAAACAGTCTCAAAAAGAATCTTAGCAAATACTGTGGTAAATTTTATCAAAACCGATGCATATAGAAGTTAGAATGATTACATTGGAACACGGTTATCAGTGCTGTCAGGGCTGATCTCCCTGAATATGCTGGGATAAGATAAACTTTAACTTGCAAAGAAATGCAAGCATAAATGGGTTTTTCTTCTTTCCTTTTTTTAAAACGCATGATTTTTGTCCGCTTTATCAGAATGAGTAGTCGCATTATCTAACTGCTTGCCTCTTGGGCACATAGCTCATCGTGGTATGTTCTCACTAATAGTCTCTGAACTTGTCTTTCTGTCCTTTTCCTCCGGCCGTATACTGCTGCCTTTAGCGCTTCAGCATGGAAGGGATCTCAAATGTCATTCAGAATGGCCTCCGCCACACCTTTGGAAATTCAGGTGGAGAGAAACAGGTGCTCGGTTATCCTTATTTTCCTCATTCTCTGCTTGTTGATTCTCTGTGTATGTGAAGAGCCAGACAGCTGCCAGTCTTACTAATTTACTAAAGATCATTGCTTAAAAGCATGAAAGGAAAGCTAATTATATTTATAGTCTCATAATGAACAAAATTTCCCTGGGGTTTTTTCTCAAATGGACAATAGACTAAATGCATTCTTAATGCACATTTTAGAGCTCCATTTCTCATTCTTACCCTTAAAAAAAGAGATATTAACGCATCACCATAATGAGTTGCATGCATAGGAAATCTGATTGCAACAATAACTGAGAACTTGCCACTTTTAATTCTAAAGGCCAAAGGAACAGGGTGTTTGTGGGGCTAAAGAAAACCACTGTGAATATCACCAAACTTCTATATAAAAAATATGGTTATCTTTAGTGTTGATGATTGAGCAACGTGATAAACATAATTAATATCATTCAGTTGTATATCTTAAATTGTGGAAATGGTAAAAAGTATCTTATTTCCTTTTCAATGAAGTTCATGTGTTTTATTTAACTTAATGTATTTTAGTCAGCTTAAAGGTAGAGGCATTCATTATACGGAATTATGGATGGATATGAATATACATGCAAATGTGTTTCACTTTGTGCTTTATTAATCTTTGTATTATTTTTATTGTAATTTAAAGAATATTATGCACATGGGGAGCACATCTATATTAATGAGCGAACTTAAAAATTACCTTTCACAATTTGAAATATTCATTTCAAAAGGAAGATTATTTCATTTGAAGTATTAAGTTCAGAGTTAGTTTCCTAAATGAGAACCCAGAAGGCATGTGAACTGTAACCTCCTCAGCAGCAGCCTTCCAGCCAAGATTTCCCCGAAGGTAGTTCTGTATTACTCAGGGAGGGACAGAATCATTGTTAGGGAACGGGGATCCACATTGACAGGTAAGCTCAGAAAGGGGCTCCATGAAAAGAAGGTTGAATTTTTGTTTGCATTCTGATGCCTCTCACCTTTCTCATACCCTTCAAATGGCAAACTCACTTCTAAATTGACCCAGCACCGTGAGGGAAACAGGCCCAAGAGCATAGCCTGACAGCCCGTGGCCCTGAAGCTTGGTCTTGATGCTTCCAAGTGCTGCCTGGCATATGTGATTCTAAGACCTTAAAGGGCCTGGCTGTCTTTTCTGTGTCCTGTGCAAAGAAACACTCTGCCTATATAATTAGGCATCACCTCAAAGAAACCAACACCGAAATGATGGTAGAAAACTTACTGCCCACTTTCCTGCATCTAGGGATCCAGTCATTGTTACATGACATTCTTGATCCTGGTCTGTGATTATGAGTGGGATATGATCACTTGTTGAGAGTTAGGAAGAGAGCTGACATTTAAATATATATATGAGGTAGTGTGAATAGGAGTATTTAGATTATAATTTTTAGATTATGGTTTTATGAGGTATAAGTTATAGACTATAACTGGTAAGAATCAAGTGGTAGTGAATTATTAGCTGGTTTGTCTCAATTTCAGACACGAATTTTCTCTATTCATTTCCCTTTGTGCCATTCCTTCCTTTGAACTTCCCTCTTTTCCTTTAATACCTTTAAACTTTTATAACTTTTTTTTTGTAACTACTTACATTATAACTTAAACTACTAATAGCACACCTCTAAACTGTAATATAAAGACATCTTTGTCAGCCCTTGGAAGAAGCCAGTAGGTGTTTTTAAAGTTATCAAGGTATTTGTCTGACCATTTTGTTTAATTAGAGCAAAAATGAACTTTAAAAAGAGAGTTATTCCGGTACTGGGAATGATTTTGTTGTGCAGAGGTGTTAAAGCTCTGTGCTTAGTTGTAATATTTTTTTAAAGTACTGAAAAAAAATATCAGGCAGACTGTCCAATACAATGATTCCTAAAAAAAAATAAGCAAAACCATCCTTAAACCTAGTCCTAGGGAAGTTTTCAACAATGAAATAAAATATAGTAAGTGGATATTTATGTTGACAATGAGTTTGCATAAACATATGAGTGTTAGTAAAAACAAGCAAACAAAACAAACTAGAAAAATGAACCCCAGCTGAGCTAGCAAGATCCCTTTATTCCTGTTTTCATTATTAAAGTAGCTAGCTGTTTTAGGTTCTAAAGTAGATCTTCTATTAACTGTCTCAGATTTTTTTTCCTTCAGAAAAAGTAATCTAGATCTAAGTGATGCATTGTTTTTTTTTTTATTTTTAACTTGGCAGTACTTGACAACAGTTATTCCTTATGAGAAGAAGAATGGACCGCCATCTGTGGAAGACCTTCAGATATTAACAAAAAGTGAGCAAGTAAAAATGACACTGTTGGTTTATTTACCTTGCTGATTTTTAACTACCTGATTGTAGTTACCTGGTTTTGTTCTGTTGCTTTTGTTTTGCCAGTTTTCTATAGAAAATGATTGAATGCCATTGTTCTTGTGAGAATGAGATCACAAAAGTCTGTGCTTTGGAACACTGCGCTGACTACATTTGCCTGCATCTTTCTGGTTTTCTTACTTTTTTTGAGATATTTATGAACTACATTTTTTTTGGGGGGGCTGGTGTGGAAACTCCCAAACTTTTTTCTTTGTCACCTCTTGTGTTAAAGTAAGGATATATCCATTTTACAGTAAGTCAGATATTTTGTGGATATTACAAAGGAACTCTAGTAGTGTGGTAAGTTTTAGATACTGGGTTTATAACCAAATGTCAGTAGGTCAAGTCCACCAACAGTTCCATGGAACAGAGATGAGGCTCTTTGCTCTTGTTATGATTTCATCTCAGAAACCACATGAAGGTCATCAGGAATTGGAATTGACTCTGTGGTAGTGGGTTTGGGTGGGTGGGTTTTGGTTTGTTTGGTTTTGTATGATTATTACATACATATGACTGTTGGTAAGTGGTGGTGGTTATGTTTGTGAGGTTGAAACTCACTCCTAGCCGACTCATCAGAGGGCTTGCAGAGGCAGTAAATCACATAGGAAATCACATCTCTTTCCCTCAGAGCAGTAGGGGGATTCAAACTGTGTGCCTTCAGGTTGGCAGTACAGATCCTTAGCATTAAGCCACCAGGGCTCCCTAGAAATGCTTAGGATAGAAATGGCTGGTATGCATTGAATTGTGTCCTTCTCAAATGTGTTTTATAAATCCTCCTTCCTTTAACAGCAAATGTAATGGCTTCAGAAGATAGGTTTTCTTTGTGTCAGTGAGTCCATGCCAATGTAGGGAGTGTTGAAAACCTTTTGAGATATAAAAAGCAAGTTGGCACATGAGACAGTACAAACAGACAGGGGAAGACGCTGTATGAAAAATGGTAGGGAACCATTTTTTTTGTAGGGAGCATTAGAGTGAACAGGAGGCAAAGGCCTTTCTCCAGAGCCGACATAGAAACCAGAGGGAGACACACACAGATGGACTTCTAGCCTCCTAAGCTGCAGGAAAAGAAATGTCTGTTTCCTAAAGCCACCCACTTGGATATTTCTGTTATACCAGCATCAGGACAGAAAGAAGAGATCAAAATGGATGCTAGAAGAGACTCTGAAACGTGCTTTTCAACATAGACAGTCAACGTGAAGGGAAGAAATGATGAAGGAAGAGAGCTGAAAAGAGGATTTCAGCTCACTCTTGATCACAGTGAAAAATAAATGAATGTGTGTGTCTGATTTTGAGTCAATCACTCAGTCTTGTTTCCTTGTCCTTGTAACGAAGAGATCGAATCTACTGATTTCTGTTAGCTAACGCTACTACAGAAAGACTACACATGCTGGTAGCCTTCAGTAGCTCATTTATTTTGGTTTTCTAACTCAAGGTCTTTGCACATTCCATTATGGTACTTTGCTTTGTCTTCCCAAGCTGCCTTTTGAAATCTTCTGTTCAACTCTCTCCCATTATCATTTCTTCCCTTCATTTTGTCTTTCCATGTTGAAGGACAAGTTTCAGAGTCTCTTCTGACTTCTGTTTTGGACTCTCTTTTCATTCATGGTTTTTGGTTTTTTTAAATTTATTTTTTTCTTATACTCGTTTATTTGCTGTACAGAGGTAACTCGCGGTTGCTGTGATGCTAAACACTGTGACACTGATGTGCCAAATGTGATAATGGTTACCCATGGTGGGCAGTGTTTGGTGGAGCTCCCTGACTAAAACAAGCTTAGAAGCAGGAGTGGCATCCACTTTTGAAGTGGCTTGCCTCCGTAAACTCTATGAGTAGTGCTCAGGTTGCTATGAGTCGTCTGAGACTCAATGGAAACCAAGAACAACAACTAACCTTTGCGCTGGTGCGGCCCTGGGCACCGGACAGGAACCTACAGAATCTGTTTGAAAATGAGAGCATAAAACTTTCACCAGCTTTGAAAAAAAAAAAAAAAGAACAACAACTAGTTTATTTACAAAATTTGAATTCATTGTATTCATGTTTTTTTGTTGACCTCTTCCTTTCTTCATAGTGGATGACTTTGATGTCCTTCCATGATGCTTGTGCTGTTGAGGCATTAGTGCTCAGTGCATCAACTCTGTTCTTGAGATGGTTTTAAGTTCTGCTGGGATAAACTTAAGGTTGTATTTTGGCCCTCATGGACTTGTTTTCCTTTTCTTCAGCTTCAGTTTGAATTTGCATATGAAGGCTTGATAGCGGGGGAGCTCTGGTGTCTAACTTGGTAAGGACTGACGCTGCTAACTCAGAGGAGGCGCCTTTCTGGTGTTTCAGATCCACCAGCAACTTCCTGGGAGGAGATGAACAGTCTCTTCCTATGTAATTTACAGCCTCCTGAAAAATCCACTAGTGGGTCAGTTGTGAGAGTGGGTTCCAATTCAGTGGCAATGAGTTTGAGTTTTTTTAATGAATTGATAAGTCCGTTTCATAGTTGACCCTGGCCTTCTTCACCATCTCTTTCCAAAGATCTAGTCCATTTTATTCCTGTGTTTATTCCATTAGGTGAGTTGATATGTATAGTTGTTGTTTTGGTGTTAAATGCCATCGAGTTGCCTGCTACCCATAGCGACCCTACGTACAGTAGCTCTGAAGCCTGCCCTGTCCTGAGCCAGTCTCACTAATTCCGACACACCGACCCTCCTTGCCCCAATTATTGTATCAATCCATCTCCTTGGGGGTCTTCCTCTCCTTCACTGTCGCCTACTCTTTCAAGCATGATATCCTTCTCCAGGGACAGATTTCTTCAGGCTACGTACCCAAAGGTATGAGAGACAGAGCTTCAAAATCCTAGCCTCCAAGGAGAAACTTGTTTCACCCTCTCCAAGATAGACCAGTTTTTTTCTTGGCGGTCCATGATATGTTCAAGACTCTTCTCCAGGACTGCAGTTTGAAGGCCTTGATTCTTCTTCTGTCATCCTTAGTCCTTGTCCAACTCTCTGATGCATAGCAAGTAATTATGGAGACCATGGCCTGAATCAGATGTACCTTAATCTCCAGACTGACATCATTGCTTTTCAGTACTTTGGAGAGGTCCCTGACAGCAGATTTTCCTAATGTAATTTGTCTTTTGATTTCCTGACTGCTGGTGCCAAGAGTGTTGATTGTGGAGCTGAGCAGCTGTAATAGTTTTTGCAATGAATATATTAATCCTTGTACAAAAAATTCTATAACGCAATCTCCAGCTCATTTCAGTCTCCAAAGCCATGTTTTCCAACTACTAGTCTTTCTTCTTTGTTTGAGCTTTTGCAGTCCTGTCACAAGTTATTATTAATGCTTCTTGACTGCATGTACAATCAATTTCAGATTGCAAAAGTCTGTAGAAATGCTCAGTTTCTCAGGTGTGGCTTTAGTGGTTGATGTATTTATTTGAATTCCCGTGATATTAACAGATCATCTTTGTATCCATATGGATATTATCCCTGTACTTGAGGATAGACCTTGAAACATTCTTTTTGGTCATGAACACCATTTATCTTCTATTTGTCATCCTCAGCCTGGTAGATCATATAGTTGGCTGATTTAAAATGACCGAAACCCGTCCATTTCCACTCACTAATGTTCAGCTGCTGATATCTGCACACGCCATTTCATTCTTGGCCACTTCCACTTTTTCCTCAAGTCATACTAAGGACATTCCATGTGCCTATTATTAACCTGTGTTTGCAGCTCTTCTCATTTTGGGTCCTGGTACATCAGCAGGCCATCATTGGATGACATCTTTCTATTCCATTTGTCATCATGGTAGACCTCTTAGGGGGTGATTCTTCCCTAGTCCTGTTCTGAGCCTTCCAACCCTATGGGCTCATCTTCTGGCACTATATAACAAGCAGCGTTCTTAGTGCTGTTCTTAGGATTTTCAAGGACCTGCTATTTCAAAATTGGATGACAAATCCTACTTCTTACTCTGTCGTAGTTTGAAAGCTGCACTGAGACCTACCCACTGTGGATGACCCTGCTCGTATTTGATGTAGTAGTGGAATAGCTTCAAGCATCACAGCAACACACAAGCCCCCACAGTACAGCAAACTGACGATGAGTGGTGGTTAATGATGCTGTGGGTTTTGATATGTAACAAAAAAAACCACCAAAAAGATCCCAAACATGACTGAAATTAGAAATACTCTGCCGTTAATGAAGGCAATGCAAATACTGCTTAGAGCCAGAGATTACTGAAACCTGAGCTCAGACAAAGCGCAAACACTTGGTCAGTCCAAAATCAACATACTTCTAACATCAAATGCCAGTGGGTCAATCCCGGGTGATGTCTTCATAGATGGACATACTTTGGAATCTTCGGGTGAGTCAGTGTGTGCGTGCTGTGTGAATGGGGATCCAGGTTAATGTGATTATGAAGATACCATTGAAAGGAGTAGGATTGTGCAGTTCTCCTGAATGCTACGGGAAGGAGCTCCCGGGTACAGTAATAATAGTAATACCGACTATTATAATCAAACCCACTGCAGTGATTCTGTTTTTGCTCAAGATTACTCTTGATCACGTTTCTGAGGCCATAAATCTTCAAGGGAGGAGACGGCCTCATCTTCTGCCCATGGAGCCACTGGCATACTCCAGCCGCCTACCGTCAGCAGCCCAACATGTAAACTTCCTGTTCCAGCGGAGTTCCTATATTACTACTACTAATGCCAGTAATGGTAACTAATATGCAGATGACACAGCCTTGCTTGCAGAAAGTGAGGAGGGCCTGAAGTGGTTGCTGCAGAAGATCAAGAGTATGGATTGCATTTCAGCATCAAGAAAACAGAAATCCTCACCACTGGACTGGTAGACATCATCATGATAGGAAAAGGATTGAAATTGTGAGCAGCTTTATCTTGACTGGATCCACAGTCCACTCCCTCAGTATAGCAGTCAGGAGATTGGGAGGCATATAGCACTGGGAAAGTCTCCTTCAGGAATCTCTCCAAAGTCCTGAAGAGCAATGATTGGCGTGTAAAGACTAAAGGCTGCTACAGATTCAAGCCTGTCTTTCTAATCACCTGCTGTGCATCTGAGAGCTGGGCAGTGAATAAAGGTGACAGGAGAAGAATTGATGCCTTTGAGCCGTGGTGTTGGAGAAGAGTACTGAATGTCCCATGGACGGCCAAAAGAGCAGACAGATATGTCTTGGAGAAAGTACAGCCAGAGTTATTGGAGGCAAGATGGAGACACTTTGTCTCACATATTTTAGACATGTTATTAGGAGAAGTTATTCCTTAGAAAGGGACATCATGCTTTGAAAGGTGGAAGACCAGCAAAGGAGAGGAAGACCGTTGACAAGTTGGATTGATACAGTACCTGCAACGATGGACTCTCATATATCAAGAATGATAAGAATGGTGCAGGACAGGATGAAATTCAGAGCTACTCTTCCCAGAGTTACTATGAATTGTACTGGACTCCATTGCACTTAACAATACTGTGAGCCTGGAACTACTCTGTGTGCTTGTCTAAATTAGCCACTTAGTCGTGAAAAGAAGCTGTGAGTCAAGTCTAATTAATATTCTTGTTTTGCAGATGAGAATCTGAGTATACAGAGTGGTTGGTTAAGTAGCTTCCTCTTAGTCACGTGACACAGCCACGGCAGGACCAGAGCGTAGACCAACAAGATCGGCTTTAGATCCACTATCAATTTAGCTGGGTTACGTAGCTGTGGAGGAATTGCGAGTTGTCAGTCTCTGTGAATGCAGTATGTGTATGTGAGTTTTATCTCATGTGAATGGTCTTGTGGTAGATACTGTCCAGGTGGTTCTGAACCGTCATGACCTTGTGTCCACAAGGACATTGCCAGTCCTGCCCGTCATCATCATCTGTGCTGTGTTTGAGCCCCTTATTGGAACCCCAGTGTCAGTGAATCTTGCTAAGGATCAACCCCTTTTTTAGTGATCCTTGTCTCTGTCAAGCGTGAGGCCCTTCTCCAGGCCTGGTCCTTCTGAATTACACGTTCAGAGCATTCACTGCCAAAGAGCACTATAGCTGTATTTTGTCCAAGGCAGATTTGTTCGTCCTTATGGCATTTCATGATATGTCTCATAGCCTCCTCCAGCAGCATCATTCAAACACATCAGGTCATCTTTGGTCTTCCTTATTCATTGTCCAGTTTTTGAATATATATGAGGCTGTTGAACACAATGACTTGGCTCAGACACACCTTACTCATTTTATTTGGAGCAAAAAACGAGTCCAAGAAGTCAATTAGTCCAGAGCACTGATGGGCCACATGGCCTGCCGTCCCCATTACCCTGAAGCCAGGAACATTAGATGGTGCTCATCTGCCACCTTTGACCACTGTGAAAGAGATCCTGATAGAAGCCCCGATAGGCTGGCAAAAAATGTGGAGCAAAATCCTGAAGCATAAAAATTACTAAGCCCTGTTATTATTGTTGTTGTGTGTAGTTGAGTCAACTACGACACACCGTGAACCTCTGAACAGTAGCTCTAAAACTTGCCCAGTCCTGAGCCAATCCTACTGGATACAAGACTAGGCCACATGGTATGATAGAGAATGTGGCCCTGCCCTTCCATCCTGGGGCAGAAATCAGCCCTGTGACTCGACTTACTTCCAGTGTGCTCAGTAACAACTGGGAAGAATACACTCATGGAGTAGTCCACCATACATGAGCAAAAGCCCAGCGGTGACGCTCGGAAGGCAGGAGGGAATAGCAGAGGGTAAATGGAAACAGAAGCACATAGTGAGGGGCTGGGGAGAGTGCTGTCACCTGGTGGGAATTGCTACCAGTGTTAGGAAACAAATGAGCATCTGCTGTTGACCTAAACACCAGCTGGCACTGGACACTTGAACTCAAATCACAATTAAAAGGTTTTTTTAAAAAAATGATCTTTTACAGCAGATTTGCTCAATGATTTGATTCCTTTAAAACTACTAAAAAGAGTCTTTCCCGTGTAAAATGAGTGAAAATATTGCTGTTGAGGCAGCTGTGACTGGCGCGGGCTCGCATTGGGTTTCCGCCTCATCCTTTTCCATGGAGCAGCCACCAGATTCACACCACTGTCCTTTCCCTCAGCAGCCCAGCCGCAGCATTACACCACCAGGCCTTCTCGCCTTAGAAGATTGTCAAAGGGTCTTTTTAGGATGAGGTCAATTTCACTGACTCTTTGATTTTACTGTTCGGTACCCTTGAGGTAATTTTTGATACGATGTGGCGGGATGGAGCTCTGCCGCACAGTGTTTTGCAGGCTGTGGTCTTTATGAGCGTGAGCTCTGGTGGCCTAGTGGTAAGGAGGTGTGCTTGCCAAGCCGAAGGTTTGTGGTTGGAATCCTCCAGCTGCTCTGTGGGAGAAAGACAGGTGATTTCTGCCTGTGCCGTTTATTGTTGGTGTACCGTTGAGTCGGAACTGACTCCTAGCTGGTCTTCTAGTTGGGTTTTCAGAGGCAGTTAATTGCATGGGAGGAGACGGCCCATCCTCCTTCCGCGGTGCAGCTGGTGGGTTGAACTGCATGCACTTGGGAGCCTCTGAAAATCCACTGGCGGGTCAGCTACGCGTTGGTTCCAGCTTGACAACACTTAAAAAAAAACCTTCATGAGAGCAGATTGCCAAGGCTTGTCTCCCATTGAGCCCCTAGGGAATAAGGGAGTTTTAAACTATTAACCTTTCAGCGGTAGAGTGCTTAACTGTTGTGCTACCACAGTGTAGAATAGCTTGACAGGTGGTTGCTGTTTCATGGAATTGTTCTTTTGGTGTTTTTGCGGAAAAAAAAAATCAAACGGTGGTATGTGCTCTTTGAAGAATGCCTCACAGATAAACCATTTATCCCAGTTTTTTTCTGCCATTTTGGCACGCTGCATCGATGGGCCCCTTCCCTCCACGGAAAGGGCACATGGTGATTGCCGCTCTCTGGGGTTACCAGGACAGAAAGCCTCCTCCTCTTTCCTGCCTCCACTGCTTAGAACTTGAAGTTGGGAAAATAACATCCTAAGACCTGGGACATTCTCGCCAGTAAGAATGTTGAACAGGGTCTTATTCAGCCAAAGGAAATCCTTGTGCCTTTATTTCAGTGTTTTCCCTCCTCCCAAAGTAATCAATAGTGTTTATGAATTGGTTCTGTCATATAATTAAGGCTGCTGTGATTAGAATGAAGTATTTCCATTTAATATTTTTAATCTTAAATTGTGGCCTTTTCCCTTCTCTCCGCAGTTCTTTGTGCCATGAAGGAGGACAGTGAAAAGGTCCCAAGCTTGTTAACGGATTATATACTGAAAGGTGAGCTTCATTCCGATTAGTCAAGACATACACCATCTTACTAGCAGATTTTAAAAGGAACTTTATGGGCACCACTTTTATTCATAATTGGTGAGTAGGATGATGACAAGAGTGAGTCTCTGGTAGCCTAGTCATGAGAAGCTGTGCTACAATCCCAGAGGCACGTGCTTTGAATCCACCGGCTGCTACGGGAGGAGCATGGGCAACCTCCTCCCATATGATTAACTGCTTTTGAAAACCCGCCACAGGGTTCCAGTTCGCACCACCAACCTACCACCATCACAAGGGCACCAGTTCTGTTCATAATTGGAGTGTAGGATGATGGTGGAGCGTAGGACTTCATTCTCTTACCAGCATTATAAACTATGGTTGTGTAAAATTCATTTTTGAGGTCCTGACATGGAGATAATTTCCACAGCCAAATTTTAAAAGACCGTGAATGAAGATGAGTGGTGTTGCCCTAAGTCTGGATTTGGTCCAAGGATGGCAACCCTGGCAGGCTTGAGAAGGGTGGTCTGCATGGAGGAGGAATGAGGCTGTGTCATGAGGAAGGAATCATGCCAGTTATAGTCCTGAAGGGAGACTTAGGGGAGTAGTGTAAGGGACAGGAGAGGGGGAGGAGAAGTGATGTTCATAAATCCAGGGCGGTGAGAAACCAAGCCACAAATCTCCGGAGCAAGATTGCACAGGCTAAGAACAGTGGAAGAGAAGATTGACAATCTAATGGGATCTGTTGCTTTGCTGAGGAAAAGGCAGAGATTGAGGATGAGGATCTTAGAGATAAAATTAATAATTTCCTCTGAAAAAGAATATTTTTAAAGTACTTATTCAGGCAGATTTGCAAAGCATCACAAAATTCATATTGTAGTGTTTCATCCAATTTTGAGAATAGGTTTCTTCTGGTAATACGCCTTCTCCTTGTGCGTTGTTGCTAAGCTTAAGAAGGGGGGACTCTCTCCCGCACAGCTTCCCGAAGAGGGGCACTGCTGTATAGTAGTACACACAGGGGCTCAAGGTGAGTTACAAAGGAATGCCCCCTGGAAGAGACCTGATATGGGTATTAAATACAAGCCAGCCCCCCTCGAAGTGACCTGGGGTAGGAAGCACTGATTTGCGGTTCAAATTTCCTGTATGTTTTTCTGATGGAGGGATTCTTTTTTTCCGTATGACACTGAATTTTTTTATGCCTGACATCTTTATTTGCTTTTGTGTTGTGCTAGCAGTGGTATGAAAGCTGGACTGTTCTGAGGTTTGTTCTTCTAGATGTAAAACAGGAATGAGACCAACAGAAAGGACATGTCTTTATCTTTAATTTGCACGGGTCCCTAGGGCACTGCCATGAGGGCCAGAGACAGAATGAGCTTCTGGGACATTGCCTAGCAATTTCTGTCATTGAACTGCATGGAAGAATGTTCAGATCCACAGAAGGGAGGGCTCTAGCAGATGGGGTTTGAAATTCCTTACTCCACGTGAAGTGGCCTGCGTGCCCCATGCAGCAGTGTCTCTCCTCTGCCCCTCATGCTCAGGCCCTGGATCTCGTCACAAGCCCAGCTCTCGCCCCCGTCCCCGCTGCTCTTAAGCCATTTGTGTGCATGTACTGTGGTCTGCTTCGGCTTTGGATTACAAGGATTCGGTGGAAGATGTTGTCAACTACAGGGGGCTTCTGTAGTCTTAGAAAATAGTGGTACAAATGGTTAATAAGTTATTAACTGGGAAGTTAACAAGGTACCATTCTACTGAGAGGCCCCTTGGAAGAAAGGCCTGGCAGTTTGCTGCTCAAAAATTAGCCCCTGAAAAGCCCATGGGGCCTAACAGTTGTGCTCTGACCCACAAGGTCACCATGTGCTTCGTATGGCAGCTGGTCTCCTGACATGTATTCGTGTGAGAAGGTAGTTGTGAGGCATAATTGAAAAGGCTCTTTTCCACCCGTCCTGTAAATTCATAGCCATTTAATTGTTCTTCCCGGGGGACCAGTAATTGAACACTTTGCTTAGAGGAGGGAGGGTAGCTCAAGGGGCAAACTCTCCTGTCCTCCTGTGGCTGGACTTGTTAATGGTGCTTTAACATCGAAGAATGTGGTTTGGCTGCCCCAATCCATCACCTGAGATTTTATGCAAAGGTGAGATGTGAGAGATGGGAGAAGAGTGTCTGGCCAGAGGAGGACAGGATGGACACTCCATGAGCTACTTGGCTTCAGCTTCTCTGCCTGCTCATTCTCCCAACACAGCCTTGCCAGCACCCTCACCCGCAGCAGTAGCAAAGGCTGTGCTGTGCAGGTCTCTGGTAGAATAAATGTGTACAGATGTGCTCTGTCTTCCTTTACATGCCTTGGAGAATAGGGCGATGCCTTATTCTCTGTGGGCGGCATCCTAAGAGACATAAAACCTTTTGGGATCTCATTTCTGGAAAATTCTTACAAATGTCCTTTGAGAGAACTTCTCACTATTGGTTATAGTTCTTTAAACCTTTGGGGGGAACACCCAACCCTATAATCCTCCAATTTTTTCATTCCTTTATGATTTTTTTATATACATACAAATGTATATAAAGTATGTATGTTTTTTATGTACGTGTGTAGAAAGTACATGTCTACCTAAATATCTCCTTTTTCTTCTTCTAGTTCTGTGTCCCACATAGAGCAGCCTGGCCCTCTGTGGAATGCGGCTTGGACAATTGATGACACCCCAAAAGCTGGCTCCCTCTGCTCTCCTCCTATTGGAAATGCAGCACACGTGAACACAAGTTTCAGTATTAACAGATCATGACTTCCACTAATTCTTTATATAATGGGATGAAGAAATACAACACTATTTTGGAACCTAGAGATGGTTTTTTCTATGAATAATCATGAACTGCTCTCTAACTTGGTCGAGTCGGGGGAGGGAGTGATCATCCACTGTGCATGTGCAGTGACATCTTTTTCATTAACTGGCAGTATGCTCACTTGCATTTTTAGGACTTTCTAGCTCAAACTTGCACTGATGAACTAGTTTAAAGCATTACGTGTTTATGCATGGAGCTGATCTTCCGTGATGGTAAGACCTAGCACTGATTTTTTTACAAGAGGATTGTCAATATCCTTACCACCAACCAGTATTGCCCAGAGACTGAAATGAACAAATGCAGGTGTTCTTGAAGGAACGTGACCAGAATATGCATTACCCTGGTTCACGACGTAGTGAATGTTGACATTGTTGGAGTGGATGGGTTTTATAGCTTGCTGCTCATTATCACTGTTGTTCCAGTCTTAACCAGCAGTTGCCATTCACTATCAGAGTCTAATCGTCACTTTTAGTTGTCTAATAGTTTTGCTTCGTGTGTCTGTGAAGTGTACTATCAAAGAGAGTTGTATCCTTCAAGGTGCTTAAGGAACTGTATGCTGCAACATTGCCCATTTTCCACTGTGTTTTATTTTATGAGGCCTGTCTCTCTCAAAGTACTAATTCTAGATACCTATGGGTATTATCACTAGACATGAGACACTTCTGTTGGTTCCATTCGCGTTTGTGTCATTTAATAAAGGTAAAACCAAAACCAAAACCAAACCCCAGGGTTATGCCTGGTTCTGCATTTTTGGTTGTCATTCATGATGTCCCTTTTCTTTGTAGAATTTGCATTCTGTCCCATCCCTGCAGCCAGTGAACTGGACCTTGTCCCCTCCTGCACAGCTGCTATGGAACGAAGTTCCGTATATTTTCTGGCAGTCCAAGCAACCATGGCAGACCTCTTCTTTATATGATAAGCGTGCCTATGGGCCTTGCTACCAAGGGGCTTTTAAAATTCCTCATACACATCCATGCGCACATGGAGATAATCACATCCCTCACTCCACGATCACTGGGATTTGTCTTCCCTTGCAGCACGTCCACTCTGATGCTGTTAGTCGCACAGTCTCACGTCTGATGGCAGCTCCTCTTGCTGGCTGTCACTGAGGATGTGTAAAATCTGAAATGGTTTCCTTGTTGTATGTGTCTCACTGATAATGGAAACATAAAACTTATTTGCCCCTTTCCCTCAAATTTTTGATGGTATATTGAGTACTTCCACAGTTGCACACAGGATAGGATTCAGGTCTGTTGTTCATGGGGGTTTCTGAGTCATAGTTGACCCGATGGCAAAAAAACAATGACTTTAAACAGATTTGACCCAAATTTGGAGAATTTTATATCTGCAAGACATATATAGCTTTAAAAGACATAAGAGGCCTGGGGGATGTATTTTTTTTTAAGAGATCAACAGAGGTCTGTTTTATAGCCATTAAATGAATACTTCTGAAGTATATGAAAATAGCCATTTTTCCATGTCAGTTCAAAGCTTCCTGGTTGTTTTCTAATTTTACTTAGGGCTTCCCCTTAAAACCTCCCCTCCTACAGGATAGCATTATGCTAAGTGAACTCAGTCCCATAAGGACAAATAATGTATAAGACCATTATTGTAGAATGAATATGAGGATGGGAATGGTGGGCATTAATCAGTCACACAATTTGATTGGTGGAGAGAGTGAAGGAAATGGGAAAGATCTGGTGTGAAAAATGATGTGTATGGACTTTGTAAATAAACCAGTATAAAATTAAAAAATAAAACAAAACAAAAAACCCCAAACCACCAAAAACCAAAACCCCACAGAAACACCTTTCCTCTTGTACATGATGGACTGGTTTTAACACTAACTTAGAAATGAACAGGGAGCTTTGCTGGATTAGTGGTCAACTGTGCTGTAATCCCAAAGGCATGTGTTTTGAAACCACCAGGTTCAGGAAAAGGATGGGCAATCTCCTCCCAGGTGACTGAATGTGCTTGAAAACCCAGGGGAGGGTCAGCTATGAGTTGGTTCTGACTTGATGGCACACAACAAGGGAGAGAAGCACATTTCTGACCTATGGCCCCTGCAAACAGGTTTTTGCCCCCTTAAACACACCGTCTCTTAAAAAATCCGCTATCTCAGAGAGGTTCACTGGACTGACAAGCTTGCACAAAAGGCTATTTGTCTTTCTAGATAACTTATCTTTTCCAAAGTTACACTACATGATTCAAAATGTTTATTGGCTGCCAAGAACCAAAACTGCAAATAATCCTCCCCTTCAAGTTTTGTATTCTTTTCAAGGAAAGCAAGCAAACTGTAGAACTACAGTGCACTCCAAGTGCCATATATCTATTTTATTTTTCAGGAAATTATATTTGTTTTTCTTTTACAAGAGCACAACAGGAACCAAAGTAAGAGTAATAGATACAGCACTCAGGATAAATCATATCTTTAAAATAATAATAAAAAAATTTACACCTTGTCCTATATCCTGTTAGTATTTTTATAATATGGCCATGATTTTTGAAAAACAAAAGCAAGCATTTACAACTTTTTTGGATAAAGACTTTTTATGCCAGGAATGAATTAATTGTCAACAAAATTTTATACTAACCAGGCTGATGTAAATCTATTTTGGTAACATATCATTAACAAATTTATTTTGGAAAAAAGATAAAAAATATTGCCCCTTGATAATAAATCCTTTTTTTTCCTTTGATGCAAACAGCTAGAACACCTTTTTCTTTTCATGTTTTGATATTCTAAGACAAAAAAGAATGGTTAATCTTCAGATTAATAAATTAGGTCATTATAATAATAAATTAATTTTTTTTAAAGTTCAGCAACCTCTGTCCAAGTATTTACAACAATACTTGAAAGTTCCTTTACAAAACAGAACACATTTTCTTTTCACATTAAGCATACTGGGTATCTGTGTCTCTCACAACAAGCATTTTTAAAAGAAAAATCAATGCACAAATGGGTAATTAATATAAAAGTGCTAAGAGCTGTTTGAAAAGTTAACACTATAGTATACAGTCAGAGTTATATTTGAGGCAAACTACAACAAACTTCCAGCTTATTGTGGACAATATTCCAGTAGTTGTTTCAAACAGTTGTTTGAAATTAAAACAAAACAAAAAACAATCCAGGAGCTGATTAGGATGCAGATAAACTGCCATCAATGTCTCTGGCCAGTGAGTGAATTGAAAACCAACTGAACACAAATCCAAATGAGGAAGATCTGAGTGAATATACTTTTCCACAGCAGGTGCCATGCTGGCTGCTTAAGGCGTATGCATGTGCACACACACTTACACACACACATACACACAGTGATTCGTGGGTGAATGTGTTTAGATATATTCACACAACCACTCACACATACCTTTCTGATTAAACTGCAGGTAGAATGAAATTCAGTTATTAAAAAATTTGTAAGTGATCGTAAGCATTGATATGGAATGCCTGTTTATCTGTCTTTGTTCTGATTTAAATCTCATAAAAATACATTCAACAGGAAAACAAATTGTATGTGTATAAATATATATGAATATATATATACACACACACGCACACACACAAATACTTTTATTCTTTGAAGCATAATTACATAAATACTCCTATAACTGCTAAAGTTTAAAGAGGCATAAATTTTTTTTTGAGCTTCAACAAAGGTGCTTGAATAATATACAATTAAAATGAAGTAGTTTGTATTTTGTAGAATCAGTATATAATAAGGAAAAAAAATCCCCTAAGAATCTTTTTTTTAAAAAAAGATTCTTCTTAAGCTAGAGCTTGAACCAAAACTATAAACAACCAATATGGGAACAGAACAAAGCAACAACAAACAATGCAGTGTAGCCCCTGGAAATGCCTGGTGTCCTTCACCATCTCCTTCCTGCCATGCTGCTGTGAGAAAAGCTCCAGTGCTCACATCAAGAAGCGACCTAGGTCTTGTTCTTTTGCTGACTCTGCTAGTAACTGGCTGATTGGCTTGGAAGAAAAAAAAAAAAAAAAGGAAAGCAGCAAAAAAGTATAACTGTAAATTCCTAAGAACCCGCTTTAGAGAAATTTTGCTCTTGCATTTCCCTTGCTTCCTCACTGCCTACTGCAGTTGTGACTGTATAGAAAAGAAACTTGTGGCTTTATACCTGGGATGGCTATTAAGAGGTTCTGATGCGCTTGTCTGGTAGTTCTAAGGTGGTTACTGCAGCTGGATTGCAAGGCTTGTGTGTTTCCTGCTTGGCTAGGCCTGGACTTTGCAGCGGCCACTGCATTCTTTGGAGCAGCAGGAAGAAGCCCCGTCTGGATGCTGGCCTGTGAAACTGCTTTGATTTTACTAGATTTCTCCCCAAGCCAAGCTGACCAATTTGTCTTCCCAACACCACCCTCCCACCCATTTTCCCAACCAAACTCACTGCCCCAACCCCAAATATCTCTACAGCTATATTACAAGCAAATATATCATAGCAACTTTAAAAACTTTGGTTCTAAGAAAACACTTGGTCAGTTATCTTGAGGAAAAGTGGGAATGCTTGTCCTGCACGCTGCTGTCGACAAAGCCCATCCCAGGAAGGCCTCAGCGCTGTACATCAAGTCACAAATCCAATACAATCCACTAAGCAAGTGCACAAATCCTAGTTTACTTTTAAGAGCAGATTTAGTCATTCTCTGGCTTTGAAAATCTCATCTACATTGCCTTTCTTCACACGGTCTGGTAGAAATTGTCTGCTTGGAGATGGTTCTGTTTCTGCATGCTGTAGAAGCCACTGAATCTTGCGTCGGGCTCAGCAATTCTTAGCATTCTCTGGGAGCTGTCCACTTGCACGCGTGTTCCTTTCTTGCAGCCCACTGATACCAGCTGATTATTTAAGGAAGAAGGCTAGTTAATAAGAGGAGGAAAGACCACACAGAATTAGCTGCTTCATATATCCTGAAAGAACAGAAATTTAGTGCCTATTCAAGTGAGAGAACACCAGCTTATATAGGGAACATCACTTTCTATAGTTCTTTTAAGGGGGGAAGGTATGGGCAAATTGCATCATTTAAAGGTGAAGTGTCAGAAAATTATGTCACACAGGGAGCCGATGAAGGATCTGAAAAGACTGGTGCAATGACATGGTAACTATTTTCAAATCTTTTGAGACTTGCATTTAAGAGAGGGCTCACCAGGCAAGTAAATTTTAACATAAAGGAGGGACTGCTAATCACTAGGCTAAGGCTAGTAACACACGATTATACCTAGTTCTCTCAGCTCTGGACGTAGGGACCCAGCATGCACCCAGAATAGAGACTGCTAAGTTCACATGAAACTTTTAAGTCCTAAAAGTGGGGTCAAGATTCATAAACCAACAAATGATGGGGGATGATGGATTCACTTAGTGACCAATCCAGCCCTGGGAAAATATTCTATATTGGATAGGTCAAGCTGCTGTACATTTTGAGATTACAAAAAGCAAGGTAGTAAACAGTTCACTGACTAAGAGAAAAGGTTCCAAGCAATATTAAGGGAAACGAAGAGTGCGAGCTTTCCTAATTATTCAAAAGACTGGATATTTTCACAATACCTTGGTTGGTGTCCGATACCAGCACAGCAGTGGTATCCACTGTTTCTTTTGATTGATGAACAGAAATGCTATGATCAGAGAGAGGCAGACGACGATGGGGACCACGACCAAGACGATGGAGTCCAGAGAGGAGTCTTCGCTCTGCTGCAGCCTGTTGTTGTCTCTGTAGTTCACCTGCAGGTGACCCATGTCTACGAGAAAAAAACAATCCAAAGAAACCAGAAGCATTTATCAGAACTTTAAAAAATTATTTTGATAAACATTTGCAAGAGAGATCAGCAACTTGAATTTCTTAGTTGTTGAAGGTTAAAAATACTGTAAAAATTTAATGCTGATTTAAAAATTCTATCAAAATTCACAGTGCTTAGGAACCAGCGTAGAGAAAAAAAAACCAGGTTGACAATGCTAGTTCTTGCATTTATAAAGTGACTAAAATGAGGGTATTATACATACACATTTTTGTTAGTATTAATATACCTGCCCTTGAAGGATTTTTTTAGATATACGTATTAGCTCCATTCCTTGCTTAGTCTCTGCTATTCACAGAGTTTTACACCCAAATGGTGAAAACTCACTAGATCTACTAGGTCATTTTCCTACTGTAGTGAACATAATACCCATTTGCTTTGCTCCTATCAAATGAAGACTTCTGTGTTCCTAAACTGTTCCCCTTTCAGTGCATGAGGTCTGGTGGCGTATCCGTAAGGAGTCCCGCTGCTGATTCAAGGTGGTGCCTCCAGTGGGTGGAATCTACCAGCAGTGCCCAGGAAAAGATGGCATTGTCCTCTGTTTTAATTTACAACCTGGGGAAACCCACTGGAGGCTGAGCGAGGAGTCTATTCTAACTCAATGGCAAAGAGTTATCTGAGTTGAGACTTAGCACTCCTTGCAAGTTGTAATCAGATTTTCTAAGTGCAAGAGACAGTATTTCAGCCAAATATGCAGGAAGGTTTGCTTTTATTGTACTTGGGAGTGTGAAAGAGTTGCTCTTTGTTTAAAAACTCAGGTTTGGTTTGTTTGGTGGTTTTTTTTTTTGGGTTTTTTTTTGTTGTTGTTGTTGTTTTTTAATTGATAGGTTTTTTAGAAGGAGGAGATGGAAGAGAAGGATTCCTCATTATTTAAGTCACTGCAGACAGCAATATTGTATGTAACCTTACCTACTGCGACTGGGTGAATTCCGACTTGTACTACCACTAAAGAGAACAGCACAGAAAAGCCTCCCTGGGCTCCCCAGACTCCATCTCTAAACACACAGCCCGCCTACCCTTCTCCTACAAAGCAAGGGGAGACTGCAAGGTCCATGCGTGGACCATTTAGTCAGCAGCCAAGCACTTTAACCAATGTGCCACTGGGGGCTCCTTGTAATACTTCATATCATCATGTCACTGGGGCTCTTTGAAATACTTAAGAAACAAAACAGAGTCCCAACCCTGCTGCCATCAAGTTGAGTTCGACTCATAGTGACCGTGTAGGACGGAGTGGAACTGCTACTGGATCCCTAAAGCTAGAAATCTTTCCAGAAGCAAATGGCTGCTCCTTCCTTTCATGAACAGCTGGTGGGTTAGCAGACAAATGCTTTAACCACTGTGCTGCCAAGGCTCCCAGTGTGAAATCTCTGGCAAAAAATGCCAAATGTAGAACTGACGTTTTAGGGGAGCTCTGGTGGCCTAGTGGCAAGGAGCTGCAACTACAATCCCAGAGGCGCACGGTTCGAATCCACCAGATGCTCTGCCGGGAAAGGAGGGACAATCTCCTCCTGTACCAGTCAGATCTGATTTGACGGTACACGCGCACAAAAATAATAAAATAAAAAAAATTAAAAAAAAAAAAAAAAAAAAGAACTGACGTTTTACTGGTGAGTTAATTCAGTTTTGTAACAGATAAACTGCTGATTTTTTAACCTTTCCTTATTCCAAAAGACAATGGAAGGAAGTGGTTTATATATCAATCATACAAGAAAATGAAAAAGTAAATTAACAAAATCTTGATGAAAGAACAATGACATTGAGACAGGTCTCTTCATAAAATCCTGGCTTTATTATATTCTGTTCCATGTGCTGAAAAGCACCCAATAAATTTAGCTCAGTGTTTCACACAAGTCAAAATGGAAATGAGGGGAAAAATACCATCAGTGAGATTCACAATGTGTTTAACATTAAAATTTAAAATTGTTCAACTACTTAGAAGTGGTATGGATTTGCCTGCAACTGATGAACAAGGAAATTTATCCTCAAGGGTTTATGGTGGGGATCCTAAGAGATGCCCAGGTTCCTGAAAATTCCTACAATAAACCAGGGTATTTTTTAAAATCAAAGCCCTGCATCTGAGACTGTGTGCAATACACAGGGGCACCAATAGTTAATGGCTGAATTAATACTAGCATAATGCTACGGCATTATTCAGTCAAAGCAATTACACATGGAGCTAAACAGGGCCAAGAATTTGGCTGGCGGGTCATTTGCCCTGAGCCAAGCCTAACATTTAGAATATATAGACCATTAATCTTTCAAGCAATGAAGACTGCACCTTCCACAAGAAATAGAAAAACTGTATCACAATGGCTTGGAAAATAAACAGGAGTAGATAGGTGGCAGTATTGAGTTGTGGCTAAGAAAGAATGAGTGTTCTTTTGAGTGAGGAAGATCTGTTTTTATAGAGAAGGCATTTTTATTTTCTGGTTTTATCTAATTTGAAATTTTTTTTTTCTTGCTTTTCATTCATCCATACATTATGTCCTATAGCATCAATTAAAACTGATTACTTACTGCAAGGGGGCACTGATAGGAACTCCACCTAAATGTCCATAGTAACAACTGAGAGTTGGAAAGACACTTTACAAACAACTCGAGGGCAGAGGAATGGAGGAAAAGAGACATGAAATAAATGTCATGTAGTAAAACTGATCTGTTAAGAAATGAAAATTACTAAAATTTAGATTGTAGCACCACACATTCAGGCTTAATAAAGACTCTACCAAGCCAGGGAATCAGGAACTGATTTGTTATTAGTCTGTTTATAAAGCACACTCACATATAAACCTGAGAGATGGCTTAGAAATTCCAGTTACCAAGTGCTCTTTCTGACCCATCTTCACTGAGGGCCAAGAACACATCGTACTACAGACCATCCTGAAGACTTGATCCCAGACCTCTGCCTGCACTTACCTCTGGGGAGATGGATAATGTCATTTTCACTAGGTGTGGGCCACATGGGAACCTCCAGGTCAATCTCGCCACGGTGATTTGTCTTCTCAATGGGTATATTGGTTGGTTCGGGGACATACATTTCTAAAAGAGAACATTCAGAAGAGATGATGAAGCCATCTTATCTTATTGTTGACTTCTTTATCCTCAATTCAAGTGTGCATGCAGTATTTTTCTCCCAGGACATAAAAAGCCAAGTTTTTCTACTTACATCATTAATGCTATAGACATAGCTATTGACATTGCAGTGGTGGGAAGAGGTTTATAACATTTTAAAAAAAATAAAGTGTCTACTCCATCAAGGACAGAAGCTTCACTTATAAAGAAGATTATTAAATAATGTTGGCTCCAGAGTTCTGTGCAAGTTAATGGGGTCTAGCTGAAATGGAGAGCTTTCTTTTACTTTCTACCAGCTAAATATTGTACTTTAAGAATGGTTTTCATATACATACATACATACATATATATATATATATGAATGAGTCATTTATATAAAATATCTCTGGAGGACTTAGAAAAGTTAAAGCATCTTCTACCCTTGGTGCATTCTGGCCATTCTCCCTCCACTCTCTTCCCTTAAATAGGAACCGTCTGTAGGCTTCCTGGGGCATAGCCTGATTGTTACTTGTTACCACTGCCTGTTACCACTGTGAGCAGTTAAGACTGGAAAGTGATCTTCATTGAAAATATACTTATATTAGCTGGATTACAAAGGCACGCTGATCAACAAGGTAATACAGCATGGAACATAATTATATGGGGAAAATAACATTCTTCATTCAAAAGAGTTTTTGGAAAGTCAACTGGAGAAGAACATCATGCTCAGAAGGGTGGAGGGACAGTGCAGGAGAGGAAGACCCGGATGAGATGGATTGATACAGTGACAGGGGCAATGGGGGTGGGGGTATCAGAGTCACTGAGTCTGGCTCCTGACAGGGGAGGCTTCAGAGCTGTTGTACACAGGGTCTATGGGTTGTAGCCGACTCGATGGCACACAGCAAACAAGAACAGTGCAAAAACTCAGAGTTTTCCTAAGTTCATACAAACATTTATATATATCATCTGTCCAACAAGAAGTAGCTCAGTTTTTAAAGAATTAATTCTGAGTACTCTAATTTTTAATACATGACAATGAAAGTATCATGTGCCTCCTCTTAGCCAAATTATTAAATGAGTTTTATAATAAGGCTACTACTTAACATCTATAATCTCGTTAATAAAGGGGTTGTGCTGCTGACCTAAAGGCCGGCTCTTTCTGGTGCTTTGGAATCCACCAGCAGTTTCTTGGGAGAAAGATGGACAGTCTCCTGCCATGCTATTTACAGTCTGAAAACTCCCAGGAGGCTCAGCTGTCAGTCAGTTCTGCCTTGAGGACAATGAATTTTTTTTAATAACATCCATAAAATGTAAGATTTAAAAGGATTAATAATTTCCTCTGCTCCAGGTAATTGCTGTTGATCCCAATTTTACTAATCTTTCAACAATCTGAGAGAGGGTGAAAGAGAAAAGTGGAAAATGGTTTGCTGAGTTCCCCTGTGTGCTCAGGAAGAGAAGGCAATGCAGAGCGACTAAGGAACTTGCCTAGATTATTATGTTGCTATTAACTGGCCGAGCTGGCATTCAAATCCAATTCTGCGATTCTGACGCCTTTTTCCTGGTGTCTCTAAGTTACTTGGTCTCCAGACTCTGCTTTCTGATTTATAAGGCCTTTACATGGCAAGAACTAGAAACAATTAGAATTTCCAAAGACTCGACAGATCCTTGGAAACTAGAATTAAAAATAGACTTTTAGGAAAGCAGTCTCACAGGCGGGAACAGGAGCCAGAGTATTGGTTGAGTGAGTCTCCAGTTTTCCTATCACATCAGAATTACCTGAAGAGCTTCCCAAACGTGCTGATTCCAACAGGTGGAGGTTTGGGGTGGGTGGGTGGGAGTAGAAAGGGGGTGTTGTATAGCTCACTCTGAGACAAACCTGGATATGCACCAGAAATTTCCTAGACGGACTTAAGAAGAAAAACCACTTTATGTGGGATCTTCCAGTGCCCATTCCAAGGCCCTCATCTCTTCCCAGCCTAGCCCAGCCAAAAACTTTGAGCCTACTGCAAAGCCCACCCCACCTGCTTCTGGTCTCTGAGGCCTCGGTATAAAGGCTAACATTTGGTCTAATCCACTGACCTAGGACATCAATAGTTCAGTATCAAAGATTTCTTCTGAGGCCCAGGGAAGCATGAATTCCATTCCATTTCAAGTTGTATTTATTTTTGGGTTTTTCTCTCCCTTCGCTGCGGTGGTGGCTGTTATGTGCCACTGAGTCACCTGTGACTCATAGCGACCCTGTGCACAGCAGCTCCGAAGCCGGCCCTGAGCCAGTCTCACTAATTCCGACACACCTACCCCCACTGCTCCAGTTCTTGTATCAGTCCATCTCATCTGGGGTCTTCCTCTCCTGCACTGTCTTGTCCACCCTCCCAAGCATGATGTCTTTCTCCAAGGACTAGTCCATCTTGGCCATGTGCCTAAAGTACGTGAGGCGGAGCTTCAAAATCCTGGCCTCCAAGGAGAGACTTGGTTTCACCCTCTCCAAGACAGACCTATTTGTCTTTTTGTCAGTCCATGGTATGTTCAAGGCTTTCTCCAGCACCACAATTTAAAGGCATCAATTCTTTTGTCATCCTTGCTCATTGTCCAGCTTTCTGATGTAAAGCAAGTAATTGCAAAGACCGCAACCTGCATCAGGAGCACCTTCGTCTCCAGACTGACACTATTGTTTCTCAGTACTCTGGAGAGGTCGCTGTTGAGGAGCACCTTTGAAATTCCTGTACTTCACACCTGTACATGGGTAGATTTCAAGTGAAGCCCTTCAAACAATGCTTTTTCGACAGCATGGTTTGCCCTACAGCCATTTTGCAAGGTAGGAAAAGTTAGAAGGATATGGCTAGTAGGAAGGAGGCTGACTTGTTGAGTAATTATGAATTCATTCAGTATTTCTGGGGCACTTACTGCATGAAAGAACCTAGTCTAAGCTTTGGGGATACAGCTCTGGGTAAGACCAGTCCTTGCCCTCAACGTTCCATGAAGAACAAACAGTGCCTCCCAGTCCCCTCTCACCATCCAGTTGTCCACACCTGCTCACGTCCACACTAACCTCATTTCGGCTCTAATAAAAATTCACCCCTGCCCCTAATTTATTAAGAGTATACACAGAAATAGCCTGGCTCTCAAGTTTGGTGGGTAAGTAATTTTCTTTTCATTTCTCTCAACAATTTTGTCAGAAAAGGATAAAGTTTTGAGCAAAGGACTGCTTAAGGCAACAACAAAGAAGTAGGGTAAACACTGTACTCCCAAGCTGAGAATCAGACCTATCCTGTAAAAGACTACGTTCTCCCCAGCCTTCAGGACATCCTGCTGGTGTTCACTCAAGAGCCTTCAGAGCTGATACACTGCAGACAGAAAGAGGCGGGAGCGTGGTAGTGGTATAAAACGCCACCAGGTCAAGCCAGGCCAGTCACAGAGGCGTGGGTAAAATAGACTTACTCCTGTGCTCGTATTTGCTGTGGGATAGAATGCACTTCAGAGGAACTCAAGACAACGTACTGTGATATGTTTACTTTCTTAAACTGACCCTTCTCTGAAACTAGGGCAGGGTCTTTGGGCCTCACAAGCTCAGGGGCTGATTTTTTTTTTTTAGCTGGAGGTTAGAGTCAATCTATGATTGCAAACTTGATCTTCAGCTGACCAGCCGAACCAATTCACATAACCTTTCCGAAGCTGTTTTTCCTTCTGTAAAACATACTGAGCAGGAACCAATTTTCTCTAAGGTGTATACTGGCATCTACAGATAGCAAAAGGATAAAGTGCTTTGCAAAGGATGAGGCTATTCAGAATACTAGAGTCCCTGGATGGTGCACATGGTTAGGCACTGGATTATGAACCAAAAGGTTGGAGGTCTGAACCCTCCCTCAGGTGCCCTGAGAAGAAATGGAGGCCTTGATGATCTATCTCAAAAAATGAGATGGGATATAAAATTATGCAAATAAATTTGGATAAACTATGATTGATAAATGAACTTTCATTGTTACACTCTAAGGTGATAGAAAAATTTTCTTAATAACCATGAAAATATTATTTTTTAAAAAGTGATTTTCATAGTAACAACTTTGACTTTTGCAGTGTATACTTCAGAATTTAAACAAAAAATGTCATGGAGTTCAGTTGTACCCTGCACACATTAGATCTTTATGCATCAGCTTCAACTTGACAACAGCCTTGTGTTCTGTCGGCTTATTCAGCATATCAGCGGATGGCACTGGAGGGTAAGGTTCTCATTTGTTTGTCTTCGTGACATTTCTGGGAGGTGGCTTGGGAGCCTGAAGCGTCACTGAGGAACTTCGACTTTAGTCACACTGTGTGCCAACGAGAAAAGGGACAGGAATCCAATCTTCTTCACTGGACATGCCTGATCAAATGGAAGGCTGCGAGAGATCAATCAACTTGTTCCATTTGCTCAGAGATGAGATGGCAGAAGGGACACTCTCTTTGATTAAAACTCACAATCCCAGGGCACATCTCTTCAGGTGACAACCTCTACTCCTACTAAGACAACGACTTAGGTCATTATCGTCACTCACCTGGAACATGGACATAAAGAATTTCAAGGGTCAGAGCTCCTCACTTTCAGCTTTAATCTCACCAGCACTGCACGTTGGTATTAGTCTCCCTATCCCTTTTATGATTTCCATTTGGGTACAACTCAACATTGCCTGCCAAAGGCCAGCTCTACATTCTGGGCTTAATAATGAAGGTCAAGAATCCTGGCCAAAGAGAACTTTTTGTCCTGACCTCGTATTACTACAATGCTCTGCTCCAAGAGCATTTGGGACCATTTACATTGTCTTCAATGACTTTATCCTCTTCAGTGCAATGAAGGAGTCTGCCTCTCCTTCAGGATTAGCTAGCCCAGAACCTTCCTCTGCTAAGCTTCTCAGGACCACCCTACTTCCTGGTAAGGTATTGGTTTTGAACTTGGTATTCACATTCTGTATAAAGAGCCATACCGCTATTGTCTCCTTTTTATTCCTCCCTTC